CCCCAAGCAGCTGCAATGTCCTTCAGGTGGGCAATGGGGGACAGTAAAACCACGGCTCAACCACCTGCTTTTACTGCCCCCAGCTGCAGCTCTGTACAAGTCAGTAAAGTAATGGAACCTGTTCCAGTTAGCAGTGTTTGTCCAGCGTTTCTATTTCTCTGCATGTTGGTGGGCAGTCAGTCCAATAACCGGAGCTTTCCTGCCTGCAATAGATTGGTTCAGAGTCTCCAATAATGACTTTGATAGCGGAGTTTTGCGCTCGGCCCGACGTCCTCGTGCAGTGCCTGTTGCAGGCGGTGGCTGCCTTTGTAGCATAGGTCAGATATTTATAGACTATAGCCGCGTTTCCGAAATGGCGAGCTTAGGTTTCAGGTCGCCGCTAATAGCAGATCGGTCCCTCGGCTGCCAGAGTGTGAGCTCCATAGGTCACCAGGAACACAACCCTTCTATGTTCTAACTGATGATTCTGATTGCTGTGGGGTGGTCGGGTCACGGGGGTCATACATTGTGCCTTGTACATGGGGGGGGGGGTACCAGAGACCATCCATGCTGATATCCTGGGGAGGAAGGTTATGATGTACATTGTTTTTAAGAATACTTTCACACTTCTCTGTATCAAATACGCATATGCAGTTTTGTTTTTTGTTTTTTTGCTGCGTTGTGTTCATTTTAACACCATTCGTGATGCATTTTTTGTTGCGTTTTCCTCATTTCCTAATGTAATTGTCATGCGATTTCCAGTAGAACTATGCAGTGGACTTGCTTGTGATTTTGATGCAGCTTCAATGCAACCCTAGAATTTGCATCACCATAGAAGAGCATTTGTATGACTTTGATACATGGGTGGGGTTTTTTGTTTTGTTTTTTTTTACCTTTCCTCCCCAGTCATCCTTGCTGCTGGCTAGGTACACGCTGAAGGAGTTTTGATCCTTGGATTGATCTTTTGGTCGATCCTTTCTTCTGTACCATCCCATTGGCCGATTTCTACCTTCGGGGCCGTCCCGTTGGCCGATTTCTACCTTCGGGGCCGTCCCGATTTTGGCCGATTTTCTACCTTCGGGGCCGTCCCGTTGGCCGATTTTCTACCTTCGGGGCCGTCCCGTTGGCCGATTTTCTACCTTCGGGGCCGTCCCGTTGGCCGATTTCTACCTTCGGGGCCGTCCCATTGGCCGATTTCTACCTTCGGGGCCGTCCCATTGGCCGATTTCTACCTTCGGGGCCGTCCCATTGGCCGATTTCTACCTTCGGGGCCGTCCCATTGGCCGATTTCTACCTTCGGGGCCGTCCCATTGGCCGATTCTACCTTCGGGGCCGTCCCATTGGCCGATTTCTACCTTCGGGGCCGTCCCATTGGCCGATTTCTACCTTCGGGGCCGTCCCATTGGCCGATTTCTACCTTCGGGGCCGTCCCATTGGCCGATTTCTACCTTCGGGGCCGTCCCATTGGCCGATTTCTACCTTCGGGGCCGTCCCATTGGCCGATTTCTACCTTCGGGGCCGTCCCATTGGCCGATTTCTACCTTCGGGGCCGTCGCATTGGCCGATCCTCCCTTCGGGGCCGTCGCATTGGCCGATCCTCCCTTCGGGGCCGTCGCATTGGCCGATCCTCCCTTCGGGGCCGTCGCATTGGCCGATTTCCTACCTTCGGGGCCGTCGCATTGGCCGATCCTCTCTTCGGGGCCGTCGCATTGGCCGATCCTCCCTTCGGGGCCGTCGCATTGGCCGATCCTCCCTTCGGGGCCGTCGCATTGGCCGATCCTCCCTTCGGGGCCGTCGATTTTGAAGGAAGGTTTGATCAGTTAATCCAAGGAAGGCACCAAAATCCATGGAGGGATGATCACCAGGCAGGGTTAAAAAAAAAAAAAAAAAAAAAAAACCCCTGTCAATCAAAGTTGCATAGGAATCCTCCTCCTGGTCTATGGTGATGCGATTTTCATAGACTTCTATGTTATTTCACAGAACTCCACCAGGAACCTTTTTTCCAAAATCGCACTGCGCTGAGTATATTAGAAGGGCACCTTTGACAATCATGTGATCTCCCTTGTCAAGCAATTCTGTGAACCTGGGCTTGAGTCATTTCCCTCAGGTGCGCTGCGTTTTTTGATGCGGTTTCAATGTGTTTTTTAGTGCATTTTTCTTTTTTTAACCTGACCAAAAATTTCAGTTCCTGAGGATACCTTGCGTAAACCAGTTCATTGTGGGGAAAATTCCCTTTGCGGTGGCGGTCGGTGGGCAGGAGTCCCCTTTGCGGTGGCGGTCGGTGGGCAGGAGTCCCCTTTGCGGTGGCGGTCGGTGGGCAGGAGTCCCCTTTGCGGTGGCGGTCGGTGGGCAGGAGTCCCCTTTGCGGTGGCGGTCGGTGGGCAGGAGTCCCCTTTGCGGTGGCGGTCGGTGGGCAGGAGTCCCCTTTGCGGTGGCGGTCGGTGGGCAGGAGTCCCCTTTGCGGTGGCGGTCGGTGGGCAGGAGTCCCCTTACGGTGGCGGTCGGTGGGCAGGAGTCCCCTTGCGGTGGCGGTCGGTGGGCAGGAGTCCCCTTGCGGTGGCGGTCGGTGGGCAGGAGTCCCCTTGCGGTGGCGGTCGGTGGGCAGGAGTCCCCTTGCGGTGGCGGTCGGTGGGCAGGAGTCCCCTTGCGGTGGCGGTCGGTGGGCAGGAGTCCCCTTGCGGTGGCGGTCGGTGGGCAGGAGTCCCCTTGCGGTGGCGGTCGGTGGGCAGGAGTCCCCTTGCGGTGGCGGTCGGTGGGCAGGAGTCCCCTTGCGGCGGTGGCGGTCGGTGGGCAGGAGTCCCCTTGCGGTGGCGGTCGGTGGGCAGGAGTCCCCTTGCGGTGGCGGTCGGTGGGCAGGAGTCCCCTTGCGGTGGCGGTCGGTGGGCAGGAGTCCCCTTGCGGTGGCGGTCGGTGGGCAGGAGTCCCCTTGCGGTGGCGGTCGGTGGGCAGGAGTCCCCTTGCGGTGGCGGTCGGTGGGCAGGAGTCCCCTTGCGGTGGCGGTCGGTGGGCAGGAGTCCCCTTGCGGTGGCGGTCGGTGGGCAGGAGTCCCCTTGCGGTGGCGGTCGGTGGGCAGGAGTCCCCTTACGGGGGCGATCAGAATGCCACCTTCAAAGACAACCTAAAATATCATTGGTGTCGTGCAGCCGGCTCCCCCACGTGTTGTTGGTCCTGGAACTATGGAGGCATCATCCAATGGAAGGTCCATCAGTCACTGGTCAAGGAAGCCCCAGGGGTGTGGACATTTTTTTGAAAACACGACTTGTCCTGGGACTAGATCGGGGCCCCAATCTACTTGTCCTTCATGGCAATCTATTTGTCCAGATAAAAACATTTTTTTTTTTTTAATCAAAACCGTATTTAAATCTGAGGAGCTTTTAGGAATGTCGGGGCTTCTAAAAACGAGGTTTTATAGAGACTTAAACTTGTAATAATTTTAACATTGCGCTCCTCCCCTCCCGCCTGTCTCCAGCACCGCACCCGGGGACTAGCAGGGAGGGGGGAGACCTTGCAGTGTGATGAACGATTGGCTGCTTGTCAGGAAAGGGGTGGGGTCAAGGCTTATCCTTTATCCCTTTCGCTGCCCGAACCGTTTTTGCGCACGTTTAAAAAATCATTTTAGGCCTGAAGATGACATAAAACCCCCAATGATGTATTTTCTGGAAGCCGAGACCCTAGAGAATAAAATAGCGGCAGTTACAATTTTTTATGTCGCAAGAATTTACCACAAAATTTTAGTAAAAAATACAAGGTAATTTTAGGGCAAAAAAAAGCAATAAATTACCCTTTTTTTTTTTTTTTTGTGGAATATAGAAGATGAGGTTGCAGCAAGTAAATATCCATCACGTTGAACCTTTAAATTTGTGCGCGCTCGTGAAATGGCGACGAACTTCAGTCCCCTACATTTTCTATAGGTCGACACTTTTAACCCCCCTGGCGGTATTCCCGAGTGTAGCTCGGGGTAACGTTTCAGCACCACAAGCGGTAACCCCCCCCCCCGAGCTACACTCGGGAATACACTGCAGCGTTGCTCCGGGATCCCTCGATCACTTACCTTGTCCTGCGCTCCCGCGATGTCCCCCTGCAGTGTCCCCTGTAATGTCCTCCGGCCGATGCCGGCATCTGTCTTCCGGGTTCCGTTCCCTGCGACGTCGGGACGTACGGGGGACAGAACTGGCGGGAAATTTGAAAATGACAAAAAGTGACATTCGCTAAATACACTAAAATCACATCGTATAACATTCCTGTATCAAACCATTTCACATACATTTTGTCCCGAGTGCTTTGTCCGGCGCCCTGCCTGCATTTTTACCGCCCATTCTGCCTGGAAACTGAGAAACGTCCATGGCGTCAAAAAAGCGTCCCTTTTAGGTCAGACGCGGTTTTTAGACCGGCTAGAGAACAGCGATAGTAAATCAGAACCACTTGCAGAATTGAGTGATAATGATTGGTGGGGGGAAATTCCTCATCAGACACTGAAAACGATTCTGCGACTGAGCTCAGCGATGTGCGAACTTGGCGCTCTATTTCACATTTCAGTGTTTTTGGTGATTATATTATTGAATTACATTTATTATTATATTATTTTTTATGATTATTTATTAAATTATGATTTCGTGTTTCAAGTTTTATCCTCCCCGGGATGTTTACTAGACTCTTGTCCGGACAGATTTCAGTGAGTTATTCCTAAAAATTACAGCCTACAATAAAAAAACAAATTTCCATGCAAAAAACGTACCGCTTTGAGCACAGAAATACTGACATCAGACCGCTAGGGAGGTTAAAGCTTCATATAGGTCACCAGTTTAGTGTTACGGAGGAGGTCTTCTGCTAGAATTATTGCGTGTGCTTTTACGTTCGTATGTGTGTATATGTGGGGGCTTCAGTATTTTTTTGGAGAGGGGATGGTATGTGCTTGGGTGTAACTTTCATTTTTTTACAATTAAAAAATTAAAACTTTTTTTTTACTTTTTTTTTTTTTCCATCACATAGGGGACAAAGTCACTTATGTGTTGCTTTTTGGTGACATCCAAGGTCTAAAAGCCCCTGCATGTCTCCCTGTGCTCCACGGAATGTAATTCACCGCATTACGTTCTTTCCCGGGGATTGCATTTCAATATCTCAACGGGGACCCGGAAGTGACATCATAACGTCACTTTGGGGTCTGTACTTGGATTTCCAGGGAATCGGCCAGGTTTGGTATACATATATTTATATTGGTCCAAGCTGGAACACACACTTTGGTCAGAAAGACTGGAGAATTGAGAGCACGCAGGATGCACAACGTATGCCCAACCCACCATCCAGCTGTCAGATTCCCGGACTCTCAGGGTTTGACAGGCGGCAAGGCTTGGGGGCCGAATGTGCATGAGGACTACGATGGCTGGAAGTGCTCCAGCTGGACCCTCATGAGTCTCAGGCTGCAGACTCGTGTTTTGTGTTCTTATGAAACACATACAGTTTATGTTCATCTTAAAGCTCCAGACGGGATCGCCATCACAGGTTCCAAGCAGTCAGACCTTCTCATTCCTCAGGAGGACCTGTCATGGTGGTCCGCTTCTATGTCCTGCAGAGTGATACGTTCATATGGACACGTGAGAATGAAACTGCTAGTGCTAGAGAAATGACAGATCCTAGGCAGTGATTATAAAAGCTGCGAGCGCCGCGAGAGATTGCACAGCAGTACATTAACCACTTCCAGTCCTGACACTTCCTCTCCCCCCCCCCCCCTGTCTGGACACTCAACCCCCCCCCCCCTTCCAGTCTGACACTCACTTCCCCCCTACACTCCCCCTACCTCCCTCCCTCCCTCTTCCGTCTGGACACTACCCCCCCCCCCCTTCCTTCCAGTCCGGACACTTCCCCCACCCCACCCCCCCTTCCAGTCGGTACACTTTTTTTTTGAGAGCGTTATTTTGGTGGTATTCACCACTGGGTTTTTTTTTTTTTTTAATTTTTTTTTTGCTATATAAATGAAAGTCCAAAAATTTTGAAGTTTTATTTTCTTATAAAATTTTGCAAATAATATTTCATCATAAATCTTGGCCAAAATTTATTCTGTTATCTTTTTAGTAAAAAAAAAAAAAAATAACCCAAATTTAGTTTATAACCAAATATAATTTTTAAACTTTTTTTTTTTTACATTTTTATTTTATTTATTTGAATTTTTTGTTTTTACACGGATTGCTTTTACACCCATAAAGGCTGTAAGAGGAATCATTTCTCCTTCTCTCTGGCTGCATTCTTGCAGCCATTGAGAACTACTGTGTGAGCTGTGATTGGTCACAGCTTGTCACATGGTACAAGGCTGTTGTGAATAGCCTTGTACCATGTGATCTCTGTGATCATTCACAGATTTCACACGTAGTAAGCAATGATGTCAGAAGTGACATCTTGCTTACTACTCTTCATGTGATCACTGATTGGCCAATCAGTGATCAGATGATCGGGACCTCGCACAGAGGTCCCGTCCGATCGGTGTTCCACTGTGTCCGGAGGACACAGCGGGCACCGAATCGTGGTGCTGTGGGCTCCCAGGGAGCGCGCACAAGTGGGGAGGATGTTTATAAACGTCTACCCGCCCCTGCACAGCCCACCGTCCGGCCGTTTATATACAACGGCTGCATGGAAAGTGGTTTAATGTTTGGATGGTGTATAACAAGCAAAATGTGAAAATAAAAAACATCCGAAAATAGTACAGTCCAAAAAGTATGAAGTATGACGCCCTCCCCATATGACGCCCCCCCCCCCCCGAGCTGGACAACTGCACTGTAGCTGTCATTCGGCTATGGCGCGGTTGGCAAGTGGTTAATTGAGTAAGCTGAAGTTGGAAGCTGATTGGCTGCCATGCACAGTTGCACCAGATCCTGAATGCACCAATTTTAGTAAAATCTTCCATAGTGTCAGATCCAGCTAAAGTGCACTCACAAGAAATATCAAATACTCAGCACTGTGTGAAAACCAGCAAACTGCATTAACCTCGTGATCTCCCCTCACGTTCGGTAGAACGTTATGACTTCACAGGCTCCGCCCTACAGGTTTCGTCCTAACCACGCTAGCTGTAATCTCTAGGCTCCAGCACTGTGGTCTCCTTACATCCCCCCCCCCCCCTAACCATTCACAGAACACACAGCCCTAGACTCCATTTTGTTGGAGGCCTGGAAGGGGGGGGCAGAAATGTGATTATAGCACTGGGGTCTGAGACCTGCAGCCCTGAAGTACAGCTGGTACCGCACTGCTCCTGGCATGTAAACAAGGCCTGTCTGAAGCCTGTGAAGGTAATCCTGCCTGGAGTCCGGCTCTAGTCCTGGATATGGTTGTATGGTTGTATGGTGTATGCACGGCTTTATCTACAACATTGGATTAGTACGTCTTGTATATTGCTGACTATTTTGTGTCTTTTTTTTTTTTCCCTTGTGTAAATTTTCTGCATTTTGAATTGCAGGTGACATCCATGGTCAGTACACAGACCTTCTCCGGTTGTTTGAATACGGGGGCTTCCCTCCAGAAGCCAATTACCTCTTCCTGGGCGATTATGTGGACAGAGGGAAGCAATCTCTGGAGACCATCTGTCTGCTTTTTGGCGTATAAAATCAAATATCCAGAGAACTTCTTCCTGCTTCGGGGAAACCACGAGTGCGCCAGCATCAACCGGATCTACGGCTTCTACGATGAATGTGAGTCCTCTTCCACTGGTCCTCGGGGGTGGGGCAATGGACTTCAGGGGCTGATACCTCCATTCAGTACAGAGCAGTGTAGAGCCAAAGCAATCAGAGGACAAGAGCCTGATCACAATGGAATAGAATGGAGGAAAAAAAATCTGAAAGTACAGTTAGCTATCTGGGTCCTGGAATTAGTCCAGCTCTGTTTTTGGATATTAAAGTGGAACTAAACTGTCTGAGCCCCACAGACTGAGAACACAAATTCATTTTACTATTCCAAGCAAACTCCCATCCATCCATGTCTCTGTCCGTCTGTGTGTCTGTCCGTCCAACCATGACTCTGTCCGTCCAACCATGACTGTGTGTCCCTGTGTGTCTGTCCGTCCAACCATGACTCTGTCCGTCCAACCATGACTCTGTCCGTCCAACCATGACTCTGTCCGTCCAACCATGACTCTGTCCGTCCAACCATGACTCTGTCCGTCCAACCATGACTCTGTCCGTCCAACCATGACTCTGTCCGTCCAACCATGACTCTGTCCGTCCAACCATGACTCTGTCCGTCTGTCCATCTATGTCTGTCTGTCTATCAATGTCTGTCCGTCTCTGTCTGTCCATCAATGTCTGTCTGTCTCTGTCTGTCCATCAATGTCTGTCCATCCATGTCTCTGTCTGTCCATCCATGTCTCTGTCTGTCCATCCATGTCTCTGTCTGTCCATCCATGTCTCTGTCTGTCCATCCATGTCTCTGTCTGTCCATCCATGTCTCTGTCTGTCCATCCATGTCTCTGTCTGTCCATCCATGTCTCCGTCTGTCCATCCATGTCTCGTCTGTCCATCCATGTCTCCGTCTGTCCATCCATGTCTCCGTCTGTCCATCCATGTCTCCGTCTGTCCATCCATGTCTCCGTCTGTCCATCCATGTCTCCGTCTGTCCATCCATGTCTCCGTCTGTCCATCCATGTCTCCGTCTGTCCATCCATGTCTCCGTCTGTCCATCCATGTCTCAGTCTGTCCATCCATGTCTCCGTCTGTCCATCCATGTCTCCGTCTGTCCATCCATGTCTCCGTCTGTCCATCCATGTCTCCGTCTGTCCATCCATGTCTCCGTCTGTCCATCCATGTCTCCGTCTGTCCATCCATGTCTCCGTCTGTCCATCCATGTCTCCATGCTTTATTTTTCTGAGAAATCACTTTGAAAAACACCCCCCCTAGCATTTGCAGCCATGACCATCTTGAGTAAAGGCAGATGATTCATGTAGCAGTTACTTCCTGGAATCCATCTTCCCTTAGCTCAGGCATGCAGGCTGAGAGTGTACTTAGCTGAGAAAGCCGCTCTTCCTATGAAGACTCTTGCGATATATGACATCACTTTGGCCTAGGCCAGAAATCGGCAACTGAAGAAAGTATAAAATCGTTCAATCCCAGCAATGGCTCGCCAGGAGATTCTTGTTTTTACTGCACTGTCTTTGTACCGGTGAATAGCCTGGCTGTGGTGTCACTGGCCCAGCGTCAGTGCGAGAATAACCTGCGTGTTATAACTGGGGCCTCATGGCCGCCTCCCATGTGGCGCCTTTAAAGCTACAGACTACAGTGAGTGCAGCTGCGGGATGCAGACATTCTCCTAATCCAATCTGCACCTCTCTGCCGTCTTCCCTTAGCTCAGGCAGGAGAGCGCGCTAAGCTGAAGAAACCCCATCATAAGGAAGGAGATTTGTGATCACCATGGAAGCATTCCTTTACTTGTCGCTGTGTCCGCTCTCCCCGGGCCTCGCAGTTGCTGTGTCCGCTCTCCCCGGGCCCCGCAGTTGCTGTGTCCGCTCTCCCCGGGCCCCCGCGTTCGCGGTGTCCGCTCTCCCCGGGCCCCCGCGTTCGCGGTGTCCGCTCTCCCCGGGCCCCCGCGTTCGCGGTGTCCGCTCTCCCCGGGCCCCCGCGTTCGCGGTGTCCGCTCTCCCCGGGCCCCCGCGTTCGCGGTGTCCGCTCTCCCCGGGCCCCCGCGTTCGCGGTGTCCGCTCTCCCCGGGCCCCCGCGTTCGCGGTGTCCGCTCTCCCCGGGCCCCCCGCGTTCGCGGTGTCCGCTCTCCCCGGGCCCCCGCGTTCGCGGTGTCCGCTCTCCCCGGGCCCCCGCGTTCGCGGTGTCCGCTCTCCCCGGGCCCCCGCGTTCGCGGGTGTCCGCTCTCCCCGGGCCCCCGCGTTCGCGGTGTCCGCTCTCCCCGGGCCCCCGCGTTCGCGGTGTCCGCTCTCCCATCAGCAGTATATAACAGTCTTGTGACTTCTATCAGTGTCCAACAGAGCACTGGTTAAAACTTGTAGGAGGAGTTTTCATTCTCTCCTGACTGTCCAGACAGAGGGTCCAGGATCCTGCAGCCTCATAGGACAGTGTGGATTGGCCCTGTGCTGATCACATGCATCCTCCTCCAAAAAAAATTATAAAACACTAGCAATACACACCAAACTGAGATTGGGGACAGTAGAAAAAGGGAAGCATCCGAGAAGACAGGATCAAACAGCCTATTTTTTTTTTTTACACAGTAGAGTATTAACCCTTAGGTTCCACAGGGCATATAACCAGCATGCTTTGCTGCATCTACAGACTGATTGTACTGTTGGGGGTTCAGCTACATTCTAAGCTCGACTGATAAAACGTCCTAAGATGAGTGCGCTTCTTTTCCAAAGAGACATTTTATTTTCAGACGCATCCGGCAAGATTTGAGAATTGGCCACATAGGGTGTCCCCCGGACTGTAAAGTTTAGTGACTTGTCCCCAGTATTTTTTCTTACTTGTTTAATTCATTATCGGCTCAAAAGGAAATAACGATCGTCTTTTCCCAGGCAAACGGAGGTTCAATATAAAGCTGTGGAAGACGTTCACCGACTGCTTCAACTGTCTGCCGATCGCCGCCATCGTGGATGAGAAGATCTTCTGCTGCCACGGAGGTAGGGGCGAGTCCTGCAATAAAAAAAAAAATCTTTATAGACTACCATGGTTATGGGGGTGCAGCAGGAAGGTAGCGCTCCCCTCCAAAAAACATCGGACTAATAAATATCCTGGTCCGGACATCCTGACCATTGCTGCGGGGGTGTTCAGTGTCTGGCTACAGAAAGGACATTTCTAGGACATTGCTGCCTACATGTGGATGACGGGGCTGGACTGATCAAACCAGAATTCGGTTACTGATCGATTATATTTTGGGACTTCCTTCTGCAGGGGGGAAGGGGTGTTATTACCCAGTGGGGGGGGGGGGGGGGGTGATGGGTATAAAGGAGCGCCCATGATAACCGGTAACACTTCGGCACTTCCTGTGGCTGCGGAATGTCGTTGTCCCGGGAATGGGACGTTCCAATCACAGGACACCGACACAAGAAGTGCTGACAGCTTTTACCACTTCCCGTCCGGCCATTGTATATAAACGGCCAGACGGTGGCAGTGCAGGGTTGGGTGGACGTTTATAAACGGCCTCCCCGCACCCTGCTTGTGCGCGCTCCCCGGGAGTGCGCAGCACCGCAATCTGGTGCCCGCTGTGTCCTCCGGACATAGTGGAACACCAATCGTCGGACGGGACCTCTGTGTGAGGTCCCGATCATGTGATCACTGATTGGCCAATCAGTGATCACATGAAGAGTAGTAAGCAAGATGTCACTTCTGACATTGCTTACTACGTGTGAAATCTGTGAATCATCACAGAGATCACATGGTACAGGGCTATTCACAACAGCCTTGTACCATGTGACAAGCTGTGACCAATCACAGCTCACACAGTATTTCTCAATGGCTGCAAGAATGCAGACAGAGAGAAAGAGAAATGATTACTTTTACAGCCTTTATGGGTGTAAAAGCAATCGGTGTTAAAAAAAAAAAAAAAAAAATTCTTAATCACCCCCCACAAGTAGTACAGTGTCACCATGGTGACACTGTACTGCTAGGGTGACAGTATGAAAAAAATAAATCTAAAAAAAAAGTTTAAAAATTATAATTTTTGGTTATAAACGAATTTGGGTTATTTTTTTTTTTCACTAAAAAGATAACAGAATAAATTTTCGCCAAGATTTATGAAATATTTGCAAAATTTTATAAGAAAAACACTTCAAAATTTTTGGACTTTTTAATTTACATAGCAAAAAAAAAATCCCAGCGGTGAATAAATACCACCAAAATAAAGCTTTATCGGTCTCAAAAAAATGCAAACAAATTCATATGGGTACAGTGTTGCATGACCGCGCAATTGTCATTCAAAGTGTGAAAGCTGAAAATTGTCCGGGTAAGGGGGGGGGGGGGAGCGTCCAGACTGGAGGGGGGGAGCGTCTGGACTGGAAGGGGGGGGAGAAAGCGTCCGGAATGGAAGTGGTTAAGCACTTGCCTACTGGGGAAAAATTGACACGTCATGTAAAAAATTACTTGGAACTACCAAAATTTTTTTTTTTTTTTTCTGTCGGAGGTCCTAGAGAATAAAATGATGGATGTTGCAAGTTGTTGACATGCGGTAGTTGTGAAGCAGTTTTTCAAATGCAAATTTTTTGAAAAAAAAAAATACGCTTTTAATGCGTTTTTAGTTCATTCATACACAATATAATACGTAATTGTTTAGGTAAAGTAGGACGTTACACCGAGTAAATAGATACCCAACACGTCACACTTTAAAACTGCGCACACTCGTGGAATGGCGACAAACTACGGTACTTAAAATTATCCATAGGTGATGCTTTAACCTCTTCACGCCGGCCAAACGCGAACGTGCGTCCTGGTGTCTGGGCCTAGACGCCGAGCGACCGCACTTTTGTGTTCTATTAAAAAAGAACATGAGAGCGCGCACCCTGCACGCTTCCAGCACACATTTCTGGTACTCACAGAAAGGTTCCGATCTCCTCTTTCGATTGGGACCTTTCCCGATCATGTGACGGCGTGTCACGGCGGTCACATGACCCTAAACCCCGCCTACCAGCTTCTGAAACCATTAAAGGGCCGGGAGGCAGCGGCGCGAAGGGATTAAAGTCCGTTACAGATTACCAGTTTAGAGTTTCACAGTAGGTCTGGTGCTAGAATTGCTGCCCATGATCCGACGTTCGCAGTGACACCTCACATGGGTGGGGCGATCACTGTTTATACAGGTGTGGGCAGGGGTGTATTTAGGTTTCATGCTGCCCTAGGCAACACAAAAATCAGCTCCCCCCCCCTTGGAGAGACCCTGACACTGACAAACACCCCCCTTCCCCACGATAAGAGCCTGATATTGACCAACAACCCCCCCCCCCCCCACCCACCTGAGAGAGCCTTCCACTACCACCGCCCCCCATACACTGATAGCCCCCCCCCACCCCTACCCTGGCGAGAGAGAAGACACTCCCCTTCACAGCTCTGGACATCCCCAGGAACAGGAGTCAGGCTCTGCATACACCATCAAGCAGTCCGCAGCCTCTCTCAGATCCCACCTGGTCCTCATGCTGTGTGTCTTTTCTTCTGCTGCCCCCCCCCCCCCCCTGAAGAAATGCCGCCTTAGGCAAGTGCCTTGTTTGCCTTGTGGTAAATATTCCCCTGGGTGTGGGACCAAGGCATGCATTCACCTGTGCGCATGAGCATAGGGTGACGGGCGCTTTTATTTTTTTTTTTTTTTTTTTTTTTTTTTTTTTTTTTTTACCCAGTTTCTTTACATTTTTGTATCACTTTCTTTGCTGTCAGAAGGATTTTAAACATCCCTTGTGATGGCAATAGGCTGTGACAGGTAATCTTTATGGAGAGATCGGGGGTCTAGCAGACCCCCCATCTCTCTTTTGGGCTCCAGTGCACCAATCCGAGACAGATCGGTCTGATCAGCTGCTTCACTGGCCAGTAAACAAAGAGCCGGAACTGAAAGTCGCTTCCTGTTTCGGGCGTCCCATAGCAGGAGGAACAACTGTAGTTCCTCTCCCTGTGTTCTGGGAGCCGGATGCCGTGGGTCGCATCCTTTCCGGGCTCCTGATCGCTTGGGAGAGCCCGATAATGGCAGTGGAGGGGAGGGGGGACGGGACCCCCTTCCACCATCTGTAAAGTAAATGCGGGGGGTAAACAATACCGGCATCATGGTTCTACCCTCAGCCATCGTCCCGGTGTAACCCATTCCCTACGAGGACACATGTATACAGTTAGGCCTCAATTGAAGCCTCACCTCTGCTCAAGAATTTGAACCCTGAGGAAATGGGGGAGGTGTGTTGGAACGCGTTGGCTGCGCATCCTTTAATTTCTACATTTCTTGAAGATAACAATTGCTGCCAATGTGCCTCAGGGTACTCGCCTCCTCCTTCCTCAGGGTACTCGCCTCCTCCTTCCTCAGGGTACTCGCCTCCTCCTTCCTCGGGGTACTCGCCTCCTCCTTCCTCAGGGTACTCGCCTCCTCCTTCCTCAGGGTACTCGCCTCCTCCTTCCTCAGGGTACTCGCCTCCTCCTTCCTCGGGGTACTCGCCTCCTCCTTCCTCAGTTTGGTACTACTGCGCCTCCTCAAAGTTCCTCTGGTAACTCGCCTCCTCCTTCCTCATGGGGTACTCTGAGGCCATTGGCTCCTTATCAGGGTACTCGCCTCCTCCTTCCTCAGGGTACTCGCCTCCTCCTTCCTCAGGGTACTCGCCTCCTCCTTCCTCAGGGTACTCACACGCCTCCTCCAGTTTGAGCCTCCCTGCTGTTCAGAGTTTATCTGGTAATTTAAAACCCAGCAGGAAGGCACGGGCCCTGAGGAAAGTGCTGGAGGCGAGGGCCACTTATCTTGAATAAATGGGGAGGCGAGGTATGATGAGCTTTTGGGACGGCGAGGCCCCTGAGGACCCTCCATGGTGGAGGCGAGGGCCCTGCGGAAAGGGGGAGGTGATCTGGCCCTGAGGCACATTGGCTGCATTATCTACAATAAACGGCTCAAACCGTGTAGCCAACACATTTCAGGGTACTCGCCTCCACCTTCCTCAGCCGGGGGTTTCAAATTCTATATAATCTCTGCATACAATAAGTGCTGACACTTTCTTAGTTTGATCCCCACCGCCGTTCAGTGTGTCCGTGTCCCTTTGGTACGTCCCCATTCGCAGGACGCCAACACGCCGCAGACACAAAGTGCTGAAGTTTTAACCACCCCCCTTCAATAAACGACTTCGAACACCCAAGTATCCATGGGCTTTCCCCCCCCGGGCCAGCCCCTTCCCCCCCCCCTACACCCTCCATGCTGGGTACATTGAGTCTGGCGTCCCCTCCTGTATGTGATCTGGCCCTGCCCCATCTTCCTTTTTTATTTTGGGCCCGGGTTTCTCCCCCACTTCAAGTCCAGACACTTCCCCCCCCCCCCCCCCTTCCAGCCTGGGCCCTCCCCCCCCCCCCCCCCCCCCCCTTCCAGCCTGGGCCCTTCCCCCCCCCCCCCCCCCTTTCCAGCCTGGGCCCTCCCCCCCCCCCCCCCCTTCCAGCCTGGGCCCTCCCCGACCCCCCCCCCCAGCCCCCCCCCCCCCCCCCTTCCAGCCTGGGCCCTTCCCCCCCCCCCCCCCCCTTCCAGCCTGGGCCCTTCACCCCCCCCCCCCCCCCCTTCCAGCCTGGCCCTTCACCCCCCCCCCCCCCCTTCCAGCCTGCCCTTCACCCCCCCCCCCCCCCCTTCCAGCCTGGGCCCTTCCCCCCCCCCCCCCCCCCCCTTCCAGCCTGGGCGCTTCCCCCCCGACCCCCCCCTTCCAGCCTGGGCCGCTTACCCCCCCCCCCCGACCCCCCCTTCCAGCCTGGGCCTTCACCCCCCCGACCCCCCCCTTCCAGCCTGGGCCTTCCCCCCCCCCCTCCCCTTCCCAGCTTGGGCGCTTCACCCCCCCCCCCGACCCTCCCCTTCCAGTTGGGCGCTTCACCCCCTTCCAGCCTGGGCGCCCCCCCCCCTTCCAGTCTGGGCGCATTCACCCCTTCCAGCCTGGGCGCCCCCCCCCCCCTTCCAGTCTGGGCGCTCCCCCCCCTC